TACACAGGTTATATTCGCGGCTTAGATCCAAAGCTGAGATCTCACAACATATCCGAAGGATCGCTGTTCGTTCTCCTTTCATCCTTCCTGCTGATCCCGCGCTATCTCTGGGAGCTGTCTGCACGAGTTTGCTGCTGCCGGGGGTCGTCCGAGTAAGTGTTTGAAAGACACCAATAGAAAAACCATACGGACTGCTTCGACCGGCCAGACGGTCGCTTGGTCAACAACATCGGGAGCAGCGCCATATCTTTCCCGATTCGATTGCTGCTGCCGCCGCCACCGCCGTCGTCGCCGCTTACTCGGAATCGACGACTATAAATAATGGAGTGACCTTGAAAACTGATCATACTCTACTGAGAGTCCGCGGAGATTCGATGGCCTATGTAAAAACAAATACTCGCCCCGGTCCAACCAGCTGAGCCTTCTTTCATTGTTCTGCTCCGCGGACCCACCTACCCTCTGGAGATTCAGACTACCGACGAACGTTTAGACGCAGCCGAGCCGAAAGATTGCGCCTAGGTGCAAGAATCGTAGGGCTCATCAAAGGATAGCGGAGGAAAACGGCCGGAATAAGAGGAGTACCATTATCCTGATGCAACTGATATGCACCAGCAATTGATCGACACTCGCGACTGTTATGTCTCCCCGGGGGGAGGATATCCGTCCGTGTTCACTGAAACAACTAACGAGGCGATAAATGCCAGCTCCTTTTGGCTGCTCTCCCTCCCCCACCTCTGCTGCGGGTCAGGGAGCGAACGCGGAGAGACTGAGTGAGCATCCGTCATGATGAGATATCATTGTTCTGCTCAGGGACTCAGTCACGAATAATGAGGCGATCAGACAGCTCTCGGAATCGCAAGAATGTCCGAGGGTCGTGGAATTCCTCGGATCGAGATTGAAACAAACGGGAGAAAGAGTTTCCGGAGATACCCCCTCAGAAGTTGTCGCCCGGAGCGCAGGGTCGAGCTCGTGATTCGGTGGCATTCCGCTCGCTCTCTGGCGAAGCGTCTGGCAGGACGGAATCGTATTCCGCTTGGCTCGCAATATTTCGCATTCATTGCAGAATGGAGGGGAAAGCGCTCTCAGCGGCTGTCGATTACGGCTTGCGGGAGCCTCTCTGCTCCGCTCAAGCGGTCAGCTGGACACTCTCCGACGCACCATTCGGAGGAGCGAGGGTCCGACATACCTACTCCTCCAGGGATTGCTTACTTCGGCGGTTGACGGTGCTGACCAGCGGAATCGGACCCGCTGGCCTATATAGTGCTAAAGCGAGCCTCGTACGTGAGCTACAAGCCTTTTTGCTCACTGACACGCTCAGCTACTCACTGACTGAGTGAGTGACTGACTGACTGACATCGATCGCTTGTTAGTCGGTCGAACCAAGCGCGCGGAGAGCATTCAAAGAACTGCTGACGACACGCGGGATACCCAACAAGTTTCATTACGACCAACAGCTTGGGTTGCCAGAGGTTGCTCGATCGCTCAGCACTTTTCCTCCGCGCAAAAACACATAATTAATGTTACAAACGCTTCGGTAATTATGACAAATCGATCGAAATCATATCCTTCCGGTATCCGCGCATTCGGATTTTTCAATGCCCCTTGACTACGGCTGTTTTCTCAGTCAGTCAGCCAGTCAGACAGTCAGTGATATTTCGCGATTCCCTCCGAAGTCTTCCCGGTGATCCTCTTCCTAAGCCCCCCCCTTCCTCGTCAGCAATAGGTCAGCGGAATTTTCTGACTGAGTGAGAATGCGCACGCTGTCACTAAGCCGGCGGATAATTCGCTCTTCGGTTGAGCGGGTCAGAAAATATCGTAGCCTGTCATTAGATTTGTATTTCCTTTCTGGCTGCTGCGGGCACCAAGACATTTCTGTCGTAATTACGAGACTCATGGTCTGCCTGATCTGTCTCTTGTTTCATTCAATGTAATAATAATGAACTTGTCGCAAGGTCCGCATTCAATTTAGTTGTTCTTCATATCTGTCTGAGGGACTGCTGATCGATCGCACGCTCGCTCGGTCCCTCAGCCGTCGGACGAGCGATTCATTCAATCAATCGTGCACGCTCTGATGGATTATTCGCTTCCAATTATCGTGTTATCCGTCAGCCATTTCTCTATCCCCCTCAGATTATCTCAACCAATACTTGACTTGAGCTCGATTTCATCCATACTGGGCCGCTTGCGAAGAACCCGAGAAAATCATCGATTGTATGACAATGAGGAGTAACATGCTATCGATTCTGGTCGACAGAGAGCTACAAGCCAGAGTCAAATTTGCGAGGAAGAGCCATCGACGGGGAGAAATTCGCGCGGCGAGCTATATGTGATCAGGCGCCTGCAGTTTCTCTACACGGCTCGCATATCTATGGGGATGGAATTCTCATTTTCGTTTTCTGGATAGCTCTCCACCTCGCTTCCAGCATCGATCGGCCCCCTTGTCTCAGCCCTGAAAGATTATAGCCGAAGTTCATGATTCGCATCTATGGAATTCACATTCAATTCTCACCTCGACAGAATTAAGATCACTGACGACTACGGCACCGGAGATGTTCTTTTGCTGTCTTGAATGCTTGCTTACGATGGGAGCTTTTCCTGTACGGAAATCTCATCAAATGCGTCAACAACGGTACCATCACTCAGGCGGTCGAAATCGCACTGTGAGGTGCTTATACATTGTTCTCGAACCCCTCGATTCTTGTGACATTGAGATGTATTTGATCTCGGGACGAGCTCCGCGAAGGTCTTGGCGACCAGCGAGCTATCCGACAGGCAACTCCTCAGAAGATCCCATTGTGTGGGTCGCGGGTCGGGACCTCGATCGGTCGACACGCTGACCAAGCGACAGTGTAAAAGGACCACATCAGAATTGCCAAGTAGCTCTGGTCAAGCACTGCAATAGATGGTATAATACAGATATTTATGTATAGCGTTTCCTGTCTGCACGGGACATCTTCTCAAAGTTCTTCTTCTTTTTCTCTTTTTCCAGGACAGTGACACAATGCTCATCCACCCTAGCACGGATCTTGACCCGCTCGTCTTGTCTTTTCCTTCATGGCGATCATCTCCGTCCGCGGCGCCGGCGCGACTACTGGAGAGCTTGCGACTTAGTTTTGGGGAGTCATAAAATCACCGATTTTGATAGCCTTCAAGAGTGATCTGACGAGTTTGGGTAGACTAAATCATCTGATCGTTCCCAAATGTTTTCGGGCAGAATAAACAGTGTCAAATCGATGTGTGACTGGAATGGACTTCGGCATCTCAGGAAAATTCGCGAGCCCGGTGGGATATCAGGGTCATTTGACTCCAAGGCAAATGGCAGCCGACCCCAAACAATTTGCGCTTAGCCAGCTCCAACATCAGAAGAGAAAACAGGTACGAGTTCCTGCGCACTGACCACTCCTTCCGCAGCAATGGTCGTGATATGTGAAGTGAATAATTGATCTTATCCATTAAGACCGTCGGCGATCGTGGTAGGGGCAACAGATATTTTTGAGCTTGTTTTGCGGTTCCGGATGAGAAATCGAGAGGACTTTGATAATAATTGGCCCTTATTTTTCCAACTCGATATTGTGAGAGAAACAAAACGTTTCCAGTCTCGGTAAAGACGTCTGCCCCTTTTCTGCCCGTGTTTCAGATTTATGCGGAATGAGATCCGTGTGCAGGAAAAATATATGATTGAGGCGAGCGATTAATGTAATTGGACTTCTCGGCAGACCCTTAGAAGAAAACATTGCAACGAGTCAAGATCAACGCCTGTTATCAGGGCAATCTCGCTGTGTGGAGCGGAACCCGGGAGAGCGAACGACTTTCAAGAGACCTCCGGAACTCACTTCCAAGATCAGAAAGAGAAAACACCGCGCGCCCTCCGGTCCCCCAAGTTTTTCATTCTTCTCGATCAAATCCCGGTCGGTTCGGAAAACAATTCAGAATTTTTTTTAATTCAATGCCATTCTACCGGAAAGATGAAGTCTTGACTCCGTTATTCTGCACCTCCATCAAAGTCCTACCATTTCACGCCAATCATGGCACTCGATGCTCCTTCCGAATGCCTGGCTCCCCCGCGCGGTTTCCCCGAGGAGCACCCCAAGCCGCCAAAGACTGCAACGACGGCCAGATAGTTCCAGTTTCTAGGGCGAAACGCGAGTAGGCACTCCCGCTTCCGGAATGGTTTCATGCACTCCGCTTCCAGGGAGACAGCACCGGATCGAACCTTGCATCATTCGAAGTCGCCGGAGGAGAATCGCCTGGAGGCTTCAGGGGGACTTATGAGTTCGTCGATCGCTGACGATTCACTAGTTAGTTCCGCTCCAGCAAATATTCATACCAGAACTAGTCAGAACATTGGATTAGCGGCTACTTCACTAAACGACCCGTTGCCGTTACGCAACTTCCCACCAGATCGAGTTTGGAGGGGCGGGCAAGCGGGGCGAGCATTATGATGACATCTTTGCACCCACAATTGCACCGTCTAATTGATTAATCGAGAATGGTGACCAGAATTCTCCTCCGGGAGAACGCTTGTCGATCACGTGGGAATTGAGCTTTCAGGCCCCCGAAAATTTGTTACGGTCGGGCTTTTGTATCCCGGATCGTTCCTGAATTTGAATGATTCCGACAAAGCTAATGAATGCGTGAGCGATTGTCGGCGAATCCATGAGCTACCTTACCGCCGTTCCCGATCGTTCAATCGCGATCCGAATGGAAGGCATTTCAGGGGAAAACATCGCCGAAGAACGAGCCCAGGGCACCAAAATCGACCGAAGGGAGACGTCGTTTCCCTTCCAGAATCAGGATGGTACGATTTTCGTTACAATATCTAGGCCCGCGCGGTGACGCAAGTCGTGTTATTTTTCACCGGGGCTAAGACCACGGCCCCTTGGCAATACGCCGGCTCGGACAAGCTGCGAGCATGTGAGATACAAGGCAGGGCTCACACCCTCCCCGCTCCCCGATCGGAGGCGTTTCACTTAAATAGATGAGCGCGGAGCTAGAAATCCGAACAGAAATCAGTGGCAGGAAGCCAGAACAGAAGTCCGGCCTAGATAAGCCCCTTGAGTACAAGTGTAGCCCTCGTAGAGTTCACTATGCGTACGTCTTCATCGATAACCGTGCTCGTACTCGTGCTTATGGTGGTGACGATGGTGCCCGAATTGGAAGCGCGGAAAAGCCACAAGATCCTCGGAGCCTTAGGACTAATCGGAGGCGTTGCTGGCGCCGGTGCTATCGGAGGTTTGCTCCTCGCCAGCCACCATAAACCTCGTTATCATCACGCGCCGATTAAACACGTGAAGCACGTTCATTTGCATCCGTGAGTGAATCTAGTTACAAGACCCGATGGATCCTCCTTCGAATTGATCGATCCATCGGTGAATCGACCGTTATATTAATTAATTTCGTGTTAACTCATCACGATCCTGTGCCGGAGAAGCAGCGTTGTGGTCACATAATTAATGGATTTGATCGCGGGAGGGAGAAAATTCTCGACAAAATGTTCGGCTGCACTTATCCCCATCAGAAAATTGTTCCAACGCCGGGAGGTGTCAGTCCTGCACGCTCACTTTTCGGATTTCGCAAAGACTCACTCCGAGAGGATTGCGAAAACATAATTTGCGAATCCGTAAAATCTGAAGATACTCGAGAAACCTAGGAAGAAATCCCCATTCCCGCTCGAAGACGCTTTCTCCGTGTAACTCATGTGGTCTTGTCCATTCCAGTGTTCATCACGTATCAGTCATCGAGGACCATGGTCATGGATGGGACGCGGGCCACGGTTGGGACGCGGGCCACGGTTGGGATCTTGGAGGCCATGGTTGGTGGTGATGACAATCTCCGTTGTCCTCCAAAATCGTCGAGTCATTCTGTACATAACTGTCCGTCCGCCATACTGCTTCGCGACAAAATGACGCAGGAGCATGGAATTTTCACAACATGTAATTGTAATAAATGAGAAGAGAACTTTCCACCTAATATGCTGGACGCATGCGCGAGTGCTTTGAGAAGTTCCCAAGCTTTTGTTGGTTCAACAGAGATGATCTCTCGGCCGCGGATTTCCGGTGTGAAAGAGAGAGAAAAAGCGTAATTCTACGCGAATCACCCGTTCGAGCTGCAAACTCAACCGAGTAGCCTGGATTTTTTTGGTGGGGAGCTGTCGGTGGATTCACCCGTCGAGTACGACTCTGTGTCGGGAGCCGAGGGAGGAGCCGAGCAGGAGGGTCGATTATCGACTAGTCCTGATTCACGAGATTCGCTTTTGAATTACACGCAGCGCTGTGTCTTGGTAGGAAACCTGAGGCTATCGCCACAGGTTTCTCATGCTCCATGCGGCTGGCAACGGGATCCCTGCTTCTGCGAGCGTTCGCAAAGAATCATGAACAGAAAATGAGGTGGCCATCATAATCTCAAAAATCGAGCACTTCAGACTCTACAAATGTGGAGCTTGGTACACTTCGCCCATAGGATTGGCAGTCGATGGATTTTTTAGATTTGAACGGGGAAAAATTCAAAAAGAGTGACGGATGAAGAGTAGATTCTGCCTTCTTGTTGAAGGAAAAGCTCACCCGCATCCACGGCATGCTTTCGCACGCGAGAGAGGCGGAATATTCTTGAAAGTTCTTTCGCAAAGGCTTCCAAGCTCACTTCCCGAATACGGAATTATTCGTTGATCAGAGGTGTACCCAAGGGCAGAAGAGCGTCCCTCTGGCGTCTCTTCTTCTATTTCGACTCCGTATCGAAGCGAATCTCGGTCCCTCACCGACCCCGATGTCTGCGGAATCCCTTGTAGCGAAGTCTAACGTGCTCACGAGGCCAGCTTTGATGGACGCCCCCATTTCGAGATAATACGTGTAGAGTCGATACAGACGTCGTCTCATGAACCAACGGACGTGGAAAACAAGCCAGCCATTATCTTAGATTCCCTCTGTGCGCGATGTAAGATGAAGGGTCTCCGACCAGTGGCCGGGGAAGAGCTCTCATCGCGTCAGGAGTTTCCTCTATGAACGCCGAGTGAGACTTCATTGGATCTCTGATTCTTCAATCCCCGCAGGTTTCTGGAATCATCAGCGTTATGAAGCGAGCCAACCGCTTGTTATTGAATCAGTGGAGGACCGGCTTCCAAAAGTAGCTCCCAAAGAGCCCGAAGTCGAATATTGTACATATATTGCGCAATGCGGAGAAGCGGATATATTTGAGTCGAAGTGTTTTATACCTGACGAAGCGATCCGATGAACAGATGGGCAAAAGCTCTATGGTGATTCGTTGTTTTCCGTTTGGTTAGTTCCTCGCAATAACTCGGCATTAGCTTATTTGGTTGGCTCCACCTGTAGTGAACGATATTGGTGTTCAGGCTGAGGTAACATTCTCGGATATAAAAAAAATCCCCTCATTTTTCCCCTCTTTGCCCCAAAGGGGTCGTATTCCGTTTTATACTCAGCAGAATATGATATCACGGTTCGACAAGCCGAGCCGCACCCCAGCACCTCGAAAGTGAGCCGACAGTCAGTAGCATCGAAGGCTTGAGCTTAGGTCACAGTATCCCGCCCCCTGCGACGAGCCAGCGACTCTTGATCCGACGCCACTGCACGACGATCCCGACAGCAATGATTCCTCGATATAGCATGCAATGATGGAAAAATCCCACTAGGGACAGAGCAGAATTCGCGAGCCATAACTCGTGTATCTGAGGTTAACTTTTGTTCTCCTCTTTCCCTCGCGCTCCAGGGCAATTGTCTCCGAAAAGTATCCTCAACGCCCGGAAACTGGCTCGAGGGGGAGTTTTCCCCCACATCACGGTCAATTACACTCGGCTCTAGTCGCTCCCGGTGGGGTCAGCATACGACTCAGGGCTCAGACCTATTTCCTGACCTGTAAGTCTACATGGTTGTACGGAAGAGGGTCGTTCTCTCTGTCGGTCGAACAGCGAGCTGACCGTCCAGCCTGGTTCTCACTTCGTCCCGGGAAACTGGAAGGAAGCAGCGAGGCGAGAGCGAGACGTTTGTATCTGTCGGTGTTTGAGCGAGAGAAGGAGAGTTTCGGAGGCTGTCCGGTAAAGATAGCGTCGACATCAGTTCTACGACGGGGAGGGCGCGACTATTTTTGCTAAAGTCTTACGAAAGTTCTACTCCTTTTTTTACGGGAGCGGCGAATTAACCTTGAGATTTATCGTTGCCAAATGGGTCCCCTGAGTCGGCCTGTCGACTACTTTTGGAAAACGTTCAGCGAACGTATCATCAGAACGACAAACTGAGAGACTACGGCTCGCTGGCAGCTAAACGGTGGAGTCGTTGAGAAGAGAGCCCAGCGATGAGGATACTACGAACGGAAGACGGATTGCACACCCGGGTACGGAAAAAAACCTAAGGACTGACATGGCGTTAATTTCCAGCTGTGCCCAGAGTTCATTCCTATGGACTCATGGTGAGGTAGTCGTCCTCGTAGCGCGGTCCTGTCGCTTTCGGCTCCCAGGTGGTCAGTCAGGACTAAGCTAATGCTCTTTGACTCTCGTCTCGCGAAGAGGGCAGTGACAAAAGCGACGTTAATAATGACTGTCTGCCACATGAAGTTGACACAAAGCCCCGGCGGCAGAGTCTCCCTGGAGCGAGGGAAAAAATATTTACGACTCCGCCAAAACATTACCTCAAGTGTACGCGGACGGACCCTAACGACTGGAACAATTATTATTATGCTCGCTGTCTCCGGATGGAGAGTTCAATCTCGCTCCGCGTGTTCCGAAGTCTCACTTTGCGGACGATCTTCCAACTTTCGACAGAGAGTGCCCATGTCCCGGATATTCAGCTCGAAGACGAAAACGCCATCGACGGGGGTCAGAATTTCTGTGAATTCTTCCGGCAGAACTGTCCTGAAGAGATCACGTATGATATTTCGGCCTTCGACGCGATTGAGCCTTGGCCTCAATCAATTTCTGATATTTGGTTCAGAAGGTGGAAAGAGAACCTGCGCAGGTACCTATACCCGGAGTCGACGATCGTTTCACCCGAGGAGGGGGAGCTCGTTCCCTCCACTGTGCAGTGGAGGCTCATTTGCATAGCACGATCCACCGCTGAGCGAAGGTATTCGACGGAGGCGCGCAGAGCTCGAATCATTGTGGATGCGACAGCTTCCGAAAGAGCTCCTCTTTCCTACGTCGCATGGCTTCAAACATTCACTCGTCCAGTAGACCTGTCGATTCAGGGAGTTCACCCCTCACCTCGAATCGTTCGAATGCGAAGCGGGCCCTGGGCGCTACGACTTTTCACCTTTCCCGGGATGAGAATATTCCGGAAGCAGCTGCTAGAACGTTTTTTCTCTTAGCGGAGATTACCACACGATCGGTGATGGTAATCGATAGTCGGCGCCCCTCCTCGGGGTAGATCGGATCGGTCGGGATCGATAGGTTGGAGGTGTCGATCCCGATGAGGCAACGGATGAGAGTCGGCCAGGACGCGGTGACGATAACTCGAGCTCGGCCCAGGGGAAAAAGGGAGAGGAGGGAGGAAGGCCGAGCCGTCTAGTCCTAGCAGTCTAGGTCGGTCGGTTGATAGATATGGCTATACCTATATCTGTTTATCGCTGGAGAGAGAGGACGAAGGCTTTTAGACAATGCAGACTATGCGGTCATCTGCTGACTAAGGAAAGGATGCCATATATGAGCTTAATCCTACGGCTCAGAGCGTCTCGGAGTCGGAACCCATCTTAGTCGGAGTGCGAAGCTAATGCACTGAAACCCTTTCGGGCAAACGATGGATGAATGAATGAATGAATGGGAGCAATGCGCTCAGGCGTCCAGGTGAGAGGCTCGCGTGACTCACACCCGGTCTTAAATATAAGTCGTCGTAAATTCTTCTGACCTCCACGTTCGTTTTACTACTTTGATCGGGTGGGGTGAGGGGCGAGTTCACCTGGTCAGGCTTCGATTGAACACCTATCACTATCGTGACGCTGATCGGACGAGTTTCAAGCTCTCAGGAGACTTCCGCCGAAACCTAATCCATGGGAGTCGGCACGCGCTCGCTCGGCATTTCATGCTCTGCTCGTTTGGTCAATTTCCGGAGGGTATAAACGATTCGAAACGAACTGCTGCATTGCGTCCCTCTCCAGGTTGAGAAGGGCTTCTATTCACAGTATATCTCTATCCACTTATCCGTTGGGCCGACGCGTTGATGTCAGAAGTCGTCTACCCTGAACAATGTTCGGCACGATCCCTACGTCCACGATAGCGGCAGGTTGCAAAAGGCTAGGGCAAGCATTTTCGCTATCGGACACCGATACGCGATGCTTGCCGGTCCGAGTGAAAGTATCGGATGTCATCGTGCCTGCCGGCTCCAGAGGTGGAGATTCACTCAGAGAGTCGGATGCCTGGAGTTCACAGTGCGTGATTTAGCTATCGATGACTCACGAGTCACCCTATTTCACCTCATTCAGGACATTCTTGGATCAGCGGCGCACCGGTAGCTCTCGCGCACCGCTTGATGAAGTTCGCTGCTTTGAGCTAATGACACTTGTCGAGAAGTTTCAACTCTGCTCCCCGCGAGCGAGGTCAAATGTATTTTCAGAGTTTAAGCGCAGGAGCTTTTCAAGTCGCGCACGAGTCACGCTCCGAAGCCTCGCGAAATCCAGTCGACGACGACGACGCCTAAATCGATCGAATTGTCGAGTCAGAAGATCAAAATTGAATGTGATCGATCGAGATCGATCAGCTGGAGGTGGCAAACCTATTTGAAGTGCGGCTTTCACGTCGGCTTCAGTGCGATTGATTAGACGCGAATTCGAAACGTCTGTCGTTGTCAGCCGCTCGCTGCAATGTTGTGGTTCCTGTGTCGTTCGAAAACGAATCCGATTGACGCACCTCGCGCCGACAAGCGGCGAGCGAGGCTTGCCTCCGAGCTCTGAACAAGGGGCGTTTGTGCGTGCGCCCCATCGATGCGTTGTTCTCGCTGCCGTCGAGCGGCTAGCCTCCGTTTGCCATCCGGACAGCG